ATATATGGTACAGTATATATAGTGGTGGTCCCTGGTCCGGTGTATATATGGTATATATAATAGTGGTCCCTGGTCCAGTGTATATATGGTACAGTATATATAGTGGCAGTCCCCGGTCTGATGTTTATATGGTATATAGTGGTAGTCCCTGGTCCGATGTATATATGGTACAGTATATATAGTGGCAGTCCCCGGTCGGATTTTTATATGGTGTATATATAGTGGCAGTCCCCAGTCTGATGTATATATGGTATATACAGTGGCAGTCCCCGGTCCGATGTTTTTATATGGTGTATATATAGTGGCGGTCCCTGGTCCAGTGTTTATATAGTGGCGGTCCCTGGTCCGGTGTATATATGGTGTATATATAGTGGTGGTCCCCAGTCTGATGTATATATGGTATATATAGTGGCATTCCCCGGTCCGATGTTTATATGGTATATATAGTGGCGGTCCCTGGTCCAGTGTTTATATAGTGGTGGTCCCCGGTCCAGTGTATATATGGTATACATAATATCAGTCCCCGGTCTGCTGTATATATGGTATATATATCGTGACGGTCCCCGGTCCAGACTATATATGGTAGTTTATATAATGGCAGTCCCTGGTCCGGTTTATATATGGTTTATATAGTTGCAGTCTCCGGTTCGGTGTATATATGGTATATATAGTGGTGGTCCCCCGGTCAGGTATATATATGGTATATATATGATATATATATTGTGGCGGTCCCCGGTCCGGTGTATATATTGTGTGTATATATAGTGACTGTCCCCGGTCTGGTTATATATGGTGTATATATATAGTGGCGGTCCCCAGTTCGGTTTATATATGGTACATTATATATAGTTTCGGTCCCCGGTCCGGTGTTCATATGGTATATATAGTGGTGGTCCCCGGTCCGTTGTATATATGGTATACTGGCATTCCCCGGACCGGTGCATGTATGATATATAGTGGTGGACCCCGGTCCGGTTTATATATGGTATACATGATGGCGGTCCCCGGTCCGGTGTATGTATGTATGATATATATAGTGGCGGTCCCCAGTCCGGAGTATATATGGTACAGTATATATAGTGTTGGTCCCGGGTCCGATGTATATATGATACATTTATATATAGTGGTGGTCCCCGGTCTGGTGTATATATGGTATGTATAGTGGCGGTCCCCGGTCCAATGTTTTATATGGTATATAGTGGCGGTCCCCAGTCCGGTTTATATATGGAAAATATAGTGGTGGACCCCGGTCCGCTCTATATATGGTATATATATTGGTTGTCCCCGGTCCTTTGTATAAATGATAGAGTATAAGTAGTAGTGGTCCCAGGTCCGGTGTATATATGGTGTATATAGTGGCGGTCCCCTCCGCAGTATATATGGTACAGTATATATAGTGGCGGTCCCCGGTCTGGTTTATATATGGTACAGTATATATAGTGGCGGTCCCCGGTCAGGTATATATATATAGTGGCAGTCCTTGGTCTGGTGTATATATGGTATATATATAGTGGTGCTCCATGGTCCGATGTTTTATATGGTATACATAATGGCGGTCCCGGGTCCAAACTATATATGGAACAGTTTTTATAATGGCGGTCCCCGGTCCGGTTTATATATGATATATATATAGTGTATATATGGTGTATATAGTGGTTGTCCCCGGTCCGGTAGATGTATGGTATATATAGTGGCGGTATCCGGTCCGGCGTATATATATATATATATATATATGGTATACATAATGGCGGTCCCCGGTCTGCTGTATATATGGTATATATCGAGGCGGTCCCCAGTCCGGACTATATATGGTAGTTTTTATAGTGGAGGTCCCTTATCCGGTGTATAAATTGCAAATATAATGACTGTCCCCGGTCCGGTGTATAAATGGTATATTTAGCGGTGGTCCCGGTCCGGTGTATGTATGGTATATAAAGTGGTCTGGTGTATATTTGGTGTATATATAGTGGCGGTCTCCGATCCTGTGTATATATTACTATTATTATTATACAGTATTTATAGTTGGCTCAGCGCTGTACATTACAGAGGGGGACAGAACATGTGACAGAACAATACCAATACAATGTGATACATGAGGGGATTGAGGGCCCTGATCCTGGAGCTTACAATCTAGGAGGGAGGGGATGGTGGCACAGGAGGAGATAGCTGTGGGGGATGGAGTGGTAGGAAGAGTGGGGGAGGTCGGCAAGTTAAAAGGGGGTGGGGTAGGCTTCCCTGAAGAGGTGGGTTTTCAGGGTGCACCTAAAGGAGAGGAGAGTAGGTGATAATCTGATGGGTTGGGGCAGGGAGTTCCAGAGGATGGGTGACACCCTGGAGAAGTCCTGGAGGCGGGCATGGGAGGAGGAGACCAGGGAACTAGAGAGAAGGAGGTCTTGTGAGGAGCGGAGTGTGCGTGTTGGGTGGTACTTGGATATTAGGTCGGTGATGTAGTTCGGGGCAGTATGGTGGACGGCTTTGTACGTCAGTGTTAGGATTTTGAATTTGATCCGTTGTGCAATCGGAAGCCAGTGGAGGGATTGGCAGAGGGGGGTGGAGGACACTGAGTGGAGGCCAGTGGAGGGATTGGCAGAGGGGGGTGGAGGACACTGAGTGGAGGCCAGTGGAGGGATTGGCAGAGAGGGGTGGAGGACACTGAGTGGAGGGATTGGCAGAGAGGGGTGGAGGACACTGAATGGAGGTGAGTGAGGGATTGGTAGAGAGGGGTGGAGGACACTGAGTGGAGGTCAGTGGAGGGATTGGCAGAGGGGGGTGGAGGACACTGAGTGGAGGGATTGGCAGAGAGGGGTGGAGGACACTGAATGGGGGCAGTGGAGGGATTGGCAGAGGGGGGTGGAGGACACTGAGTGGAGGTCAGTGGAGGGATTGGCAGAGGGAGGAGGACACTGAGTGGAGGCCAGTGGAGGGATTGGCAGAGAGGGGGGTGGAGGACACTGAGTGGAGGCCAGTGGAGGGATTGGCAGAGGGGGGTGGAGGACACTGAATGGAGGTCAGTGGAGGGATTGGCAGAGGGGAGGAGGACACTGAGTGGAGGCCAGTGGAGGGAGAGGCAGAGGGGGGGTGGCAGAGGTGGAGTGGTTGGTGAGGTGGATGAGTCTGGCCGCTGAGTTCAGGATGGTCTGGAGCGGGGAGAGCCTGCACTGGGGTAGGCCGGTGAGGAGGGAGTTGCAGTAGTCAAGGCGTGAGATGATGAGGGAGTGTACGAGTAGTTTAGTGGTGTCTGGGGTAAGGAAGGAGCGTATCTTGGCGATGTTGCGGAGGTGGAGTCTGCATGTTGGAGGTGGGGTCTGCATGTTGCGGAGGTGGGGTCTGCATGTTGGTGGGGTTGCGTTGCGGGTGGGGTCTGCATGTTGCGGAGGTGGGGTCTGCATGTTGCGGAGGTGGGGTCTGCATGTTGCGGAGGCGGAGCCTGCATGTGTTTGTAAGTGATTTGACATGAGGTTGGAAGGAGAGGTTTGAGTCCAGAATGACTCCAAGGACCTTGGCTTGCTGGGCGGGATTGATGGTGGTGGTGTTGGTGATGATGGATAGGATGGGGGAGCCCGGGTTGGGGGGAAGACGAGAAGCTCGGTTTTGGAGAGGTTGAGTTTGAGGAAATGGAGAGCGACATCCAGTCTGAGATGTCGTTTAGGAGGTGAGTGATGCGGGCGGAGAATGTGGGGGTGAGGTGGGGGGTGGAGAGGTAAATTTGAGTGTCATCGGCATAGAGGTGGTAGTTGAAGCCGTGAGAGTGTATGAGTTGGCCAAGGGAGGAGGTGTAGATGGAGAAGAGAAGGGGCCCGAGGACAGAGCCCTGGGGGACCCCAACAGAGAGGGGGAGGGAAGGGGAGGTGGCACCATTGTAGGAAATGCTGAAGGAGCGTCGGGATAGGTAAGAGGAGAACAAGAGAGAGCGGAGTCTCTGATGCCAAGGAGAGAGTAGTTTATTAAGGAGGACGGGGGGGGTGTTAGTGAGGTTGTGGGGAGCGCAGCGGTTGGAGAAGACGAGATCAAGGATATTACCGTCGGAGTGGGTGGTGGATTGTATGCACTGTGCAAGTGCAAAGGAGGAGGTTAAGTGGAGGAGATGGGATGTGTCCGGGTTGTCGAGGTTGACAGGGATGTTGAAATCCCCAAGGATGATGGTGGGTAGCTCAGAGGAGAGGAAGAAGGGTAGCCAGGAGGAGAAGTCATCCAGGAAGCGGGGTATGGATCCAGGAGGCCGGTATATCACAGCAATCTTCAGGGGGGTTGGGGAGAATAGTCGGAGGCAGTGGGCCTCGAAGGAGGAGAAGGATAGGGAGGGGGGGTTTGGGAGGACTCGGAAGGTGCTCTGCGGTGACAGGAGCAGACCAACCCCACCACCTTTACGACCGTTGGGCCTGGGTGAGTGGGTCCAGGTGAGACCTCCATAGGAGAGTGCAGCAGGGGAGGTAGAGTCAGTGGGCTGGATCCAGGTTTCTGTGATCGCTAGGAGGTGTATATATAGTGGCGGTCCCCGGTCCGGTGTATATATGGTGTATATAGTGGTGGTCCCCGGTCCGGTGTATATATGGTGTATATAGTGGTGGTCCCCGGTCCGGTGTATATATGGTGTATATAGTGGTGGTCCCCGGTCCGGTGTATATAGTGGTGGTCCCCGGTCCGGTGTGTATATATGGTGTATATAGTGGCGGTCCCCGGTCCGGTGTATATATGGTGTATATAGTGGTGGTCCCCGGTCCGGTGTATATAGTGGCAGTCCCCGGTCCGGTGTATATATGGTGTATATAGTGGCGGTCCCCGGTCCGGTGTATATATGGTGTGTATATAGTGGTGGTCCCCGGTCCGGTGTATATATGGTGTGTATATAGTGGTGGTCCCCGGTCCAGTGTATATAGTGGCGGTCCCCGGTCCGGTGTATATATGGTGTAAATCATGCCTTGCGCTGTGTTCGCAGGACCCGAGGAGCAGCTTCACGACGTCAGGAAGGTGTAGATGAATAGTGGAAGTGGACTCCCTGGTCCTGTGTGAGGACGAGGGCCTTCCCCTGGTCCGGTGTGCAAAACCTTCAGGTGCTTCTGCCAGAAATTCCCAACGTCCATAAAGGTGAGCCGTCAGTGTCGGGGGTGGGGGAGTTCCCATCACTGAGCGCCGTCCCATCTCTCCGTCCGGTGAACAGGAAGTGGGGCCTTCTCTCCGACGGGGAACCGGTGGGTATCCTATCTCTCCGACAGAGGGAACAGGAAGTGGGGATCCCCTCCGACAGAGGGTACAGGAAGTGGGGCCTTCCCCGACCGGAGGGCACAGGTAAATTGGGGATCCTTCTCTCCGATAGTGGGCACAGGACGCCGAGGGGATCCTTTCACGACAGAGGGCAAGGAGAGTGGGAACTCCTTCCCTGGAAGAGGACACTGCTGGGGACTTCTCTCCTGTGTGAGGAGTGGGAATCCTTCGCCTGGAGGAATGCTGCACAAAGTTCCTGCCTCTGACAGATGGAACAGGAAATTCCCCGACAGATGGAACATAGGAAGTGGGGATCCGTCAGTGTCAGTGGGGGGAAGTGGGGAGTTCCCATGACTGATGGCCGAAGTCCCATCCTCTCCGACAGTGGAACAGGAAGTGGGGATCCTTCTCTCTGACAGAGGGAACAGGAAGTGGGGATCCTTCCCTCCGACAGATGGGCACAGGAAGTGGGGATCCTTCTCTCCGACAGATGGCACAGGAAGTGGGGATCCTTCCCTCGACAGATGGCACAGGAAGTGGGGATCCTTCCCTCTGATAGATGGGCACAGGAAGTGGGGATCCTTCTCTCTGACAGTGGGAACAGGAAGTGGGGATCCTTCTCTCTGATAGTGGAACAGGAAGTGGGGATCCTTCCCTCTCTGACAGTGGGCACAGGAAGTGGGGATCCTTCCCTCCGACAGGGGGAACAGAAAGTGGGGATCCTTCCCTCCGACAGATGGAACAGGAAGTGGGGATCCTTCCCTCCGACAGTGGAACAGGAAGTGGGGATCCTTCCCTCCGACAGTGGGAACAGGAAGTGGGGATCCTTCCCTCCGACAGTGGGAACAGGAAGTGGGGATCCTTCCCTCCGACAGAAGGGAACAGGAAGCGCGGATGGGCACAGGAAGTGGGGATTTCTCTCTGACAGAGGGACCAGGACGTGGTGCGGTTCTCCCCAATGGTGACAACTATATCACAGTAGAAGTGGGTTAGAATTTTTCTGGTTTTTTTTGCCTTCTGTATGCCTCCTGGAGGTGTTTTCCTCTCACTTCTGGTCCAGACCAACATTTGGTGTCTCATTCATTTTCTTTCAGGAGAATAAAGTCCGAGAACTAGAAGAACAAAGGCGGCAGCAGTGGGAAAGGAAACGCTTGCAGAAGAGGCACTCAATGGCCACCTGTGCTTCTCTGGAGGCTCACCAGGCTGTGGATGAACTTGAACTTACCTTGGAAAGGAACCTTCAGAACCTGTGCCGCACGTCCAGCGTACGCCTGTGTAGGATGCGCTCTTTAGGGTCGCACAGTCCCAACCCCTTTGTACCTCAAAGTGAACAGAGAGAGAGAATCCAAGGTTTCTGTGACCAGAGGAATGCAGAACAGATGAGGGAAATGTCTGAGCGAGTTTTACGGCAACAGATGGAATATAAAAGTTCCAGGACTCTCAGCCCCGGACGCAAGACCAACTTTTACCCGGAATCTAAAATCCCGACAAACTCATATTGCCAGTGGCAGAAGAACCATTCACTCCCCAAGGAAAGAACTGAGATTTCTCAGTCATCGCTTGAGATAGAAGAGATCGAACCCCATGATGTCCATGGAGTGAACCAGCCGAAGCCACCTCGGTATCCACCTCCACCTCCATCATCTGTTAGCTGGGTCACCAAGGCTGAAATGGAGACACAAACAGAAGCAATGGAAGAGTCAGGGTTGTCGTGTCAACCGTTGAATTACGAGGTTCTTGACATTTCAGGACAACCCAAACCTTTCTTGGAGACCGCAAAGCCCAGACAACCATTTGACGTCACTCCAAAGTGGACAAAACCATTGGATGGGGCAGAGATTACCAGACAATCACCACTACATTTTACAAGTGGCCAACAATCACAAACGCATCCCAAAATGGAAATGTGTAGCCAAATGCCGCTCATGTCCGGATCAGTAGTCACCGGGCAAGGATTGTTAACGCAGTGTTGGGTGTGAGCCAATCTCTGAGATAGCCAGTGAAGGGATTGGAAGCACAAAAGATTTCTTGGAGGAAAATGGATTCAAAGCTCAGAGCCGGCAACCACCATCTAAAACATTGGGATTCCCACCTGGATTGGAGAGACCTAAGCCAACACCAACACATTCTGATTCCCAGATGTTTACCCAATCCTCCAATCAGTCTTCTCCAGAGTCTAGCAAAAAATCGGCAACGAAGTCAAATGCTCAGACAGAGTATCAGCAGGGAACAAGGACTTGGAGCAAGCAGAGAGATCTTTCGAATTCTCAGATGTCCAAAAAACAACCAGACAAGAAGAAAGAAGTCAGTGGATCCCAAACACTAGATCCTTCAGCTGTAGACTGTCTGGAGTTCTGGAGAGTATCTGGAGAATCGCTGTCTCTTTCTACACCTGAAACTTCCAGGCTTTCAGAGCTTCACATCAGATCTGACACTTGTGGACAACCAATGACATCAAACATACAAAGGACCACGCAAATGCCTTCTGAACGGGAGGCTTCTGTACCATCAGAGACATTACCTGGTCTTGTGCTTGAAGAACAGCAAAGACCTTCATCTTCCTCAGGGACCCCCAACCAGCACAAATTAGAACAGGTTATGCAGACATTGGACCCGATTATATCCACATCTCCTGGTCAGTACGAGACTTTACCCCATACACTGGTCCACCTTCACACTGAGATCCTCAGAGAAGGCAATTCCCCTAGACAGTCTACACTTAAGGTTCCCAAACAATATGCTGTCAAATCATTCAAACAAACACTAGTTAAACCTGCTCCAAAGAACACCAGACATTCAGTAGCTCCACCCGTACCTCCAACGTCCAGTCCATCATCAGTCCAAAGAAGGTCTGAGGCCTGCAATCCAAATCAAACTCCACCAAAACCTGGATGTTATATGTCGCGCATAAAACACGTGGACCATTTGTCCATTAAGCAGCCACCTACAGATATGAATGGTCAGGTACCACCCCCACCACAGAATGTTGTAGAACCATCCAATGAAGTATCAAGGGTGCTACAACCACAGGTCATGGAGTACAATTACTGTGCAAAGGGCCTCAAAGATGCTTATGGTTCTGTGCAGCGGGAGGCTTCGAATCCTTGCTCCAAGTGGAAGAGAGAACTAAGAAAGGCCTCGGAAAATGCAGAATCAAAGCTTGAAAACAGCCATATGGACCTTGACAAAGACAGTACTGAGCAGAAGACTGCAGATAATCCCAAAAACTCATCACTAGGAAGAACCGGCAGCAACACTTCAAAGAAGATTAAAAATGACCTTGGAATCAGGAGAGTCCTTACAAACAAAGACGGAACCTTGGGGTCCATCAGTTCCTTAGTCACCAAACAACCGGCTTCAACCAAACTGGTGAACACGGAGACCAGAGACATGAAAGTAAGCTCTGGACCAGCAAAACCACCCTCAACAAAAGTGACGGGGGCATCAAAGAGAGAAGAGAGAGTCCACGTCCTACTAACAGCGATTCCTCAAAAACAGAACGCAAAAATAGCCTCACGATGACGTCCAGACCTCCTGCTGCCTCCACAGAGAGCCCAGGCCACGGCGCAGAGCAAGTGAAGGATCCAGTCTGGCCATCGAAGAAAACAAACTCTGTAGCCCGAGTGGCCATACATGTGATTAAGCACTGTGAGGTCAACTCTGCCCTTACGCGAGGCTCAAGAAGCCCGTATCTTACAACGCATCCAGTATGGAGGTGAGAATGGAAAGCGGGAGATACCAATGGACTTCATGGAAGAATGTGGCCAGTTGTAGAGCACTTGGGTCACAGAGAGGGGAACCACCCTACGTCAATAATGAACAAAGCTCCAGAAAGGGAAGCGTCTTGGTTGAGGAAGTAATGTGTCTAGAAATATATAGAGGGGAGGTAGATATGAAGGACTTCACCAGGTCCATGTCACGGCTGTATACTGTGGGTGTGAGGGCTGTATACTGTGGGTGTGAGGGCTGTATACTGTGGGTGTGAGGGCTGTATACTGTGGGTGTGAGGGCTGTATACTGTGGGTGTGAGGGCTGTATACTGTGGGTGTGAGGGCTGTATACTATGAGGAAGTCCACAGGAGGAACAGATACAAAGTCTGTATTGAATCCAAGTGACCCAACGGTACCCCCACCATCCGGCTCCGTGCCAACGCTGTGCTCAGAGGTACTTTCCAGAGACTGACTCAAGATGGACTCCTAATTATTTAATGGGTTGAATTTTATTTATTCTCCATCGTTCTGCAATGTATTTATATTCTCCATGGAAAATGTTCATTCTGCTTTATGGGGGGGGGGGGGGGGGTTGGGATGATCTTGGAGCCGCCATGTTGATATTTCCAGTGGTTGGATTCCATGTGTTGGATCCTGACCAGCGTGAGACTCTTACTGGTCAAAGTGACCGCTTGTAGAGACGGGCATTGGCTCCAACATTGTCCCCCCCCCCCCGCCCCCCCATGGGGGGGGGGGGGTATATTGATGCACGCGATCCGCTTTGATTGTTATAAAGGGATTTACTGGCTTCTGATGTGTATTGTGGTGAATCTTTCCACATTGTTGTGTCTTCGAGTGACAGGAATTGTATGAGTTTAGTCTACAGTTGTGCTGAAAAGTCCCCCCCCCCCCCCCCCTTGGAGAATCGGGAATATACAGGATGGAGCTGATAAGCCCCCCTAGGGGGCGGAGACCTCTGATCTAGGGGGCGGAGACCTCTGATCTAGGGGGCGGAGACCTCTGATCTAGGGGGCGGAGACCTCTGATCTAGGGGGCGGAGACCTCTGATCTAGGGGGCGGAGACCTCTGATCTAGGGGGCGGAGACCTCTGATCCGGGGGCTCAGACTTCTGATCCAGGGGGCTGAGACTTCTGATCCAGGGGGCTGAGTCTTCTGATCTAGGGGGCGGAGACTTCTGATCCATTTGGGGGATTCCTGTTATCATTAGGATTTAAAAAGGAGTCAAAAAACAATGTGATCATAAATGACGTCATATCGCCACCATCCTGACCTTGCCAGGATCCATCAGATTTTCATCATCAGTTCCAAAATGTTACCATTTCTGCCAGAGGAGGGAGACTTTCCAGTACAACTCTACATATATATATAGAGAGTCCAGCCAGATCTCACACAGCCCTGGCACCCTGTACATGTATGTCCCTGGCACCCTGTACATGTATGTCCCTGGCAGCCTGTACATGTATGTCCCTGGCAGCCTGTACATGTATGTCCCTGGCAGCCTGTACATGTATGTCCCTGGCACCCTGTACATGTATGTCCCTGGCAGCCTGTACATGTATGTTGCTGACCTGAGTTTTCACTGCTGCACAACCTGGTCACATCCCCGCCCCCAGCCTATGATTGGACACAACTGCTGTCGGAGCATAGAATGGATCCACCGATGACCAATGACAGCGTGAGCTGAATTCTGATTGGTCGCAGTGATTTCTAATACACGATGATGTTGTACTGCGTATTGTCCCGTTGGGGTGCACCCTGTTATATCGCGGTCACCATGGTCACCTGACCGAAAGAGACAGAAGGACATGGCGCAGGATTGTGACCCGGAAGAAGGAGGCAACAGAAGTGACTGCAGAGCTCAATCTCAGTCTTCACCATACTCCGCCTTCCCAGACTCCGCCTTCCCAGACTCCGCCTTCCCAGACTCTGCCTTCCCAGACTCTGCCTTCCCGGACTCTGCTTTCCTGGACTCTGCCTTCCGGACTCCACCTTCCCGGACTCTGCTTTCCTGGACTCCGCCTTCCCGGACTCCACCTTCCCGGACTCTGCTTTCCCGGACTCCGCCTTCCCGGACTCTGCTTTCCTGGACTCCGCCTTCCCGGACTCCGTCTTCCCAGACTCCGTCTTCCCAGACTCCGCCTTCCCGGACTCTGCCTTCCCGGACTCTGCCTTCCGGACTCCGCCTTCCCGGACTCCGCCTTCCCGGACTCCGCCTTCCCGGACTCCACCTTCCCGGACTCTGCTTTCCTGGACTCCGCCTTCCCGGACTCCGCCTTCCCGGACTCCGCCTTCCCGGACTCCACCTTCCCGGACTCTGCTTTCCTGGACTCCGCCTTCCCGGACTCCACCTTCCCGGACTCCACCTTCCCGGACTCTGCTTTCCTGGACTCCGCCTTCCCGGACTCCACCTTCCCGGACTCTGCTTTCCTGGACTCCGCCTTCCCGGACTCCACCTTCCCGGACTCCACCTTCCCGGACTCTGCTTTCCTGGACTCCGCCTTCCCGGACTCCGTCTTCCCAGACTCCACCTTCCCGGACTCTGCTTTCCTGGACTCCGCCTTCCCGGACTCTGCTTTCCTGGACTCCGCCTTCCCGGACTCCACCTTCCCGGACTCTGCTTTCTGGACTCCGCCTTCCCGGACTCCACCTTCCCGGACTCCACCTTCCCGGACTCTGCTTTCCTGGACTCCGCCTTCCCGGACTCCACCTTCCCGGACTCCGCCTTCCCGGACTCTGCTTTCCTGGACTCCGCCTTCCCGGACTCCACCTTCCCGGACTCTGCTTTCCTGGACTCCGCCTTCCCGGACTCCGTCTTCCCAGACTCCACCTTCCCGGACTCTGCTTTCCTGGACTCCGCCTTCCCGGACTCCGCCTTCCCGGACTCTGCTTTCCTGGACTCCGCCTTCCCGGACTCCACTATACACCCAGACCGGGACTTCTTCCCAGACTCCACCTTCCCGGACTCTGCTTTCCTGGACTCCGTCTTCCCAGACTCCACCTTCCCGGACTCTGCTTTCCTGGACTCCGCCTTCCCGGACTCCACCTTCCCGGACTCCGCTTTCCTGGACTCCGCTTTCCTGGACTCTGCTTTCCTGGACTCTGCTTTCCTGGACTCTGCTTTCCTGGACTCTGCTTTCCTGGACTCTGCTTTCCTGGACTCTGCTTTCCTGGACTCCGCCTTCCCGGACTCCGCCTTCCCGGACTCCGCCTTCCCGGACTCCGCCTTCCCGGACTCCACCTTCCCGGACTCTGCTTTCCTGGACTCCGCCTTCCCGGGACGGAGATTGAGCTCTGCAGTCACTTTTGTTGTCTCCTTATTCCGGGTCACAATCCTGCGCCATGTCCTTCTGTTGACCATGTGGGAGGGGCTTATGCTGATCAGACGCGGTTTTCCCGGAAATGTATCGCCATAACCTTGGACACGGCAAATAAATTGGCGACTTCAGTCACAGAGGCCCCGGCTGAGCCAAACCAACAATTCGCCGTCTTTGAAGCTCCGGATTACTAGCAGCGAATGAGGAAAGTGAGGCGTTCCCCCTGTTAGCTAGGTGTCTCATCACACAGCGGAAGCCACAGAATGTTCCATCACTTCCACTTTCACCGCCAAACATGGCGTCACTTTCACAACTGCCAATCATGGAGGGTTTCTGTATTTTTGTCCAACCCCCAAGGATTGCCACTATATAAAACATATATACTGCGGACTGGGGACCACAAATATATTTACCATATATACACAGTGGACCGGGGACCGCCACTATTCTGCCATATATACACTGGACCGGGGACTGCCACTATTCTGCCATATATACACCAGACCGGGGACTGCCACTATTCTGCCATATATACACGGACCGGGGACCGCCACTATTCTGCCATATATACACCGGACCGGGGACCGCCACTATATATACTGTACTATATACACACCGGACCGGGGACCACCACTATTCTGCCATATATACACTGGACCGGGGACTGCCACTATTCTGCCATATATACACCGGACCGGGGACCGCCACTATATATACTGTACTATATACACACCGGACCAGGGACCACCACTATTCTGCCATATATACACCGGACCGGGGACCGCCACTATTCTGCCATATATACACCGGACCGGGGACCGCCACTATATATACTGTACTATATACACACCGGACCGGGGACCACCACTATTCTGCCATATATACACTGGACCGGGGACCACCACTATTCTGCCATATATACACTGGACCGGGGACTGCCACTATATATACTGTACTATATATACACCGGACCGGGGGACCGCCACTATTCTGCCATATATACACCAGACCGGGGACTGCCACTATATATACTGTACTATATACACACCAGACCGGGGACCACCACTATTCTGCCATATATACACCGGACCGGGGACCGCCACTATATATACTGTACTATATAAACACCAGACCGGGGACTGCCACTATTCTGCCATATATACACTGGACTGGGGACTGCCACTATATATATTGTACTATATATACACCGGACCGGGGACTGCCACTATTCTGCCATATATACACTGGACCGGGGACTGCCACTATATATACTGTACTATATATACACCGGACCGGGGACCACCACTATTCTGCCATATATACACCAGACCGGGGACTGCCACTATATATACTGTACTATATATACACCGGACCGGGGACCGCCACTATTCTGCCATATATACACTGGACCGGGGACTGCCACTATATACTGTACTATATATACACCGGACCGGGGACCGCCACTATTCTGCCATATATACACTGGACCGGGGACTGCCACTATTCTGCCATATATACACCAGACCGGGGACTGCCACTATTCTGCCATATATACACCGGACCGGGGACTGCCACTATTCTGCCATATATACACTGGACCGGGCACCGTCACTCTATATATACCATATATACTGCAGACCGGGGACCACCACTATATAACCAACCATATATAC